CGCGCAGGGCCTGCTGGGAGTTGTATTCGCGGAGCGGAACGCGATGCCGCGGGCGCTGCCGGGAAATGTAGTGCATGGGCGGAGCTCAAAGTTCCAGAGCGGCCTCCGAGTCTCCCCTGGGGAGTGGGCGGTTGCTGCTCTCCTCTGTGGCCTTGGCTGTCAAATAAGGGCTAATCGTAGCGGAGTTTAACACAGGCCAGCGCCCAAATCAAGCCTGACGTCGCGGAAAATAAGATCCGACTCAAGAGAAGCTACTAGGGAAGTGAGGAGAAGCAGGACAATCTCCCTGGCTTAATCGGACTGTGGTCGGCAGGAGAAAAAAAGCGAGAGATATTCCGCCCTGGTTGGAGGACGCGCTTCCTTCTTCGCCCTTTTGTTCTTTTCCCTCCTCGGCTCTTGGCCTCTGACTGGCTTTTGTACGCCTGAGCGGAACTCCAACTCCATGGAGCAGGCGCAGGCGTGATTGAGGGGCTCGGACACACTACAGGAGGCGGGCCCAGTGTTCGGCACCTAATTGGCGGAGTGTTTTGCGAGATTCGCTCTCTGATTGGCTGAGGCAGCTGCCGGAAAGGACCCTGACTTGAGATGGGGAGCGGAGGCGTTTTGTGGGCTGGGCTGAGAGCCTCCTCCCTGAGACAGCATCGGCCTGACCCGCGGCGCGGGAGGGACCCAGCCAGGGGGCAGTCCTAGTAGATTCCGGCAGTGCCTCCACCCCGTGGTGGCGGAGACACAGAGGGCGGGTCGCGCCCGGGGGTCAGGGAGGAGAGTGACCCGGCCCCGATCCAGGGCCCTCCCCGCCCGCTTTGCGGCCAGAACTCCAGCCCTGGGGAGTGGGCAGGGCCTGTTTTCCGTGCCTCACGCCCTGCTTTTCGCCTCCTTCAGCGCTGTCTGCTAGCTGCTTTTCCTGCTCTCTCTCCCGGGAGGCGAACCCTTGTGCCCGAGATGGCAGCCACCCTGCTCATGGCTGGGTCCCAGGTAAGCCGGGGGTGGCTTCTCGGACCCTGCCTCTGCTTACCCACCTTGTCCGGCTTGTCTCTGCTCTGCAAACCCCTGTGGGAAATTCCTTGAAATTAGTAATTCCCTTGCTTCGGTATTCTTTCTGTCTCCAGAGGCCTAGTACCAGGCTAGTATAGCCACAGGTAAGCATATATGGAACACCTGCTGTATGCCTTTAAATATTCGGGGGTAAAGGATGGGCGCCTGCTCACAGTCTGTAGGGAGAAAGACGCATCCGGATAACCGTGTTACAACGTGATAAGTGCTCTGTTTGCTGTAGGAACAAAGTGCTGTGGTGTGAGAACCAAGAAGTGGGAGTGATTAAGTATATACAGCATCTGGGGCATCCGAGGGAATGGTGGAGCGGAGCAGAGGGGTGGGGGGCACGGAAGAACAGTTGGTGTTGGAGCGGGACCATAAAGAATGGTAGAACTTCACTAGTATGTGAAGGTCTTCCAGGGAAAGAGGACCGTTGTGAGTAAAGGTATGCCGTGAGTGGATGCGAGTGCTACTTGTGTTCTCAGAAAGGCACAGCTGGAGGATAAAGTTCCCCGCGTGGGACAAGGATAGCTGGCCTTGGGACCAGAGCAACCAGGTCACAAAGTGCTCTCATCTTTACCAGATCTCTTTTTTGCTTGTTTATTTCTTCTTTGGACTCCACAGATCAGACTTAACATCTTTTGCCTCCTCACCATTTCTAACCATGTCTCTATTTCAAAGAAGAAAAATCGGTACTAACCTTCTAGATACCAAGTAGTGAAGGAGCGTTGTGTGATTTCAGGCACCTGTGACATTTGAAGATATGGCCATGTACCTCACCCGGGAAGAATGGAGACCTCTGGACCCAACACAAAGGGACCTTTACAGGGATGTAATGCAGGAGAATTATGGAAATGTTGTCTCATTAGGTAAGTAAGGATTCTACCTTTCCTCACTCCCACGTTTTTGAAACTGTCAAAATGGCTTAGCTCTTTCAACACAACCTGGTTTTTTGATTTTTTTTAAAGCACTTAATTGATATTGGCTTGAGTTGAGTCCTCGGGCAAATCTTTGAATGTGGGAACATCCAGGTCATATAATCTAAAGAGAAAAGATGTTTCTACACATGTTAGAAACGTTCCGATTTTGTGTGCCCTGAGTCATTTGCCGTTCTCCATCCTGTTTGTACAGATCACTGACCAAACAGGTCTGACATAATGGTGCTTGCCAGAATATAAACACCCCTGTAAATGCTGCTTTTACTTGAGGGCACTAGAAGATGAGGGGGTTCTGACCTGAGTTAATGGAGGGGCAAAAGCCAGCTTTTTGTGTTTGTTTTGGTTCAGAGCCCTGGCTTTGCCTCAAGTTCTTTATCTGAGTAGGTTCTTGTCTAGAGATGTTTCAAAGTTGATCATAGACTTCAAGCATGTCCAGTGTTCCAGAAGAGTCCTGAAATAGTGAGATCACAAATTCTATTAATGCAGCTAATTTTGTTATGGTCTTCAAAGCTGTCTTCTCTCCTTATTATCCTTTGACTGAGTGTAACTAGAATAAACAGTGTATTCTCGTGGTGAACTGTCTTTTGTTTCACTTTGTCTCCTGCTAAGACTTGACAGACGTTAGCAAGCATGTACTTATGGTTCACTAGGTCATCTGCCACTCCATTAGGACTAATCCTTTTTCTGAAATCTTTATACCCATAGCTTTTCCCAGAACAAAAGGTAACTCTGAGAGCTTTCCTTTTTAACTTGGTCTTTCTCTGATGTCCCAAGTTTCTTGAATCCTTTCTTTAGAAAAGTAGCCGGGCTCAATGACTCAGCCTGTAATCCTGCGCCTTGGGAGGCTGAGGTGAGTGGATTGCCTGAGCCCATGGGTTCGAGACCCGGGTGGGCAACTTGGCAAGACCTCATTTCTACAATAAATCAAAAATTAGCATGCCTGTAGTTCCAGCTACTTGGAAGGCTGAGGCGGAAGAATCACCGGAGCCCAGCAGGTTAAGGCTGCGGTAGCCGGGACCGGCCACTGCACTCCAGTCTGGGCGACAGAGTGAGACTCCAACTCAAAAAAAAAAAGGATGGAAGTACCAAAAAACTGATTTCCTGCTCAAATAAGTAAATAAGTTTGAGGGTGGGTTAAATAATGTTTACAGGCTTCTTTACCTTAGGAGTCTTCAGAACCTTTCATGTATTATCAGCTATTATGGATTTCTTTCTTTTTTTTTGAGTTGGAATCTCACTTTGTCACCCAGGCTGGAGGGCAGTGGCACACTCCTGGTCACTGCAACCTTGACCTGCTGGGCTCAGGCAATCCTTCCACCTCAGCCTTCCAAGTAGCTGGAACTACAGGCACGCATCACCATGCCCAGCTAATTTTTTGATTTATTGTAGAGATGAAGACTCACCATGTTGCCCAGGCTAGTCTCGAACCCGAGGGCTCAGGCAGTCCTCTCACTTGGGCCTCCCAAAGTGCTGGGATTATAGGCATGAGCCACCACACCTGGCCGTGGATTTCTAAGGAAGGAATTTTGTATACACCTTATAGCAAACTAATTTACCCATGGACCATTTTTTTCTCAACATACTTACTAACTTATTTCCAAAGAACATATTAAGAAAGTCAATTTTTAAAATACAGTATGTGGTATAAAGTGCCTTGTATATAGTGGTTGTATAATTTTATTTTCATTTGAAGACTGCATATGAGATATACTTAGTCAATGCCAAGAATATTTTTTGCCTTCTTCAGCCTTCCCACCTCTATTTTCTTGCGACAGAGTGAGACTCCTAAAAGGCCACTGGAGCTGGGCTTAGTGGCTCAACCTGTAATCTCGCGCCTTTGGGAGGCTGAGGTGAATGGATTGCCTGAGCCTGCAGGTTCGAGACCTGCCTGGGCAACTTGGCAAGACCTCATCTCTACAATAAATCAAAATGAGCCGGGCATGGTAGCATGCACCTGTAGTTCCAGCTACTCAGAAGGCTGAGGCGGAAGGATCGCTGGAGCCCAGCAGGTCAAGGCTGCGGTGGCCGGAAGCGTGCCACTGCACTCCAGTCTGGGTGACAGAGTGAGACTCCAACTCAAAAAAAAAAAAAAAAAAAAAGACCACTGGAAATGCAACAGTCACTTTTTCTGTCAATTAAGACATGGCATAGACCACTAAAAATTAATTTTTCTTCATGCCAACATAGTAGGTTCCTAGTAAGTATTTTATGAACCTAATGATGAAAGTTTGACAAGTTAAAAACAAATACATTCACACTCATATAAAATATCTAGGCTCTTGGCTTTTAGAGATTCTAATTTAGAGTCTTGTATTTTTGTTTCCAATTATTTTCTTCTTTCAAAACATCAGGAATATACAGTTTTCTTAAGGAACCATTAACTATAGTAATACAAAGAGTACATTTTTTTTATTGACAGCTGGATTTGAATTCTGGCTCTACCATTTACTACTGTGACCTTGGGCAAGTCACTTCACTTGTCTTGGTCTTGGATTTTTTCATTCATAAAGTAGAGATCATCATAATGCCTGACTCTCAGAATAGTCGTGACATGAATGAAGTGATTTGTGTAAAGAATTTAGTATAGTGCCTGGCACACAGTAGGTAAATTTTTGTGCACTTACTAGTCTTATTATTATGTACCTCTTATTGCAGATTTTGAGATCAGGAGTGAGAACGAGGTGAATCCAAAGCAGGAGATTAGCGAAGAAGTAGAATTTGGGGCCACATCTGAAAGACCTGTTGAGAATGCTGAGGAAAATCCTGAAAGTGAAGAGACCTTTGAAAGCGGAGATAGGTCAGAAAGACAGTGGGGAGATTTAACAGCGGAAGAGTGGGTAAGCTATCCTCTCCAACAAGTCACTGATCTGCTTGTCCACAAAGAAGTTCACGCAGGCATCCGATATCATATATGTTCTCATTGTGGAAAGGCCTTCAGTCAAATCTCAGACCTTAATCGACATCAGAAGACCCACAGTGGAGACAGACCGTATAAGTGTTATGAATGTGGAAAAGGCTTCAGTCGTAGCTCACACCTTATTCAGCATCAAAGAACACACACTGGGGAGAGACCCTATGATTGTAATGAGTGTGGGAAAAGTTTTGGAAGAAGTTCTCACCTCATTCAGCATCAGACAATCCACACTGGAGAGAAGCCTCACAAATGTAACGAGTGTGGGAAAAGTTTCTGCCGACTTTCTCACCTAATCCAGCACCAAAGGACACACAGTGGGGAGAAACCTTATGAGTGTGAGGAGTGTGGGAAAAGCTTCAGCCGGAGCTCTCACCTAGCTCAGCACCAGAGGACCCACACAGGTGAGAAGCCTTATGAGTGTAATGAATGTGGCCGAGGCTTTAGTGAGAGATCTGATCTCATCAAACACTATCGAGTCCATACGGGGGAAAGGCCCTACAAGTGTGACGAATGTGGGAAGAATTTCAGTCAGAACTCCGACCTTGTGCGCCATCGGAGAGCCCACACAGGAGAAAAGCCGTACCACTGTAATGAATGTGGGGAGAATTTCAGCCGCATCTCACACTTGGTTCAGCACCAGAGAACCCACACTGGAGAGAAGCCATATGAATGCAACGCTTGTGGGAAAAGCTTCAGCCGGAGTTCTCATCTCATCACACACCAGAAAATTCACACTGGAGAGAAGCCTTATGAGTGCAATGAGTGTTGGCGAAGCTTTGGTGAAAGGTCAGATCTAATTAAACACCAGAGAACCCACACAGGAGAAAAGCCCTATGAGTGTGTGCAGTGTGGAAAAGGATTTACCCAAAGCTCCAACCTCATCACACATCAAAGAGTTCACACAGGAGAGAAGCCTTATGAATGTACTGAATGTGAAAAGAGTTTCAGTCGGAGCTCAGCTCTTATTAAGCATAAGAGAGTTCATACTGACTAAGTCCTATAATTATGGTGACTGAGAAATGATTCATTTGAAGATACAATTTCATTTGATATCAATGAGCTCCCTCAAGACTAAACATCTTTTACCATACTCACTTTCCTAGTTGTGGGCCACAATTTAAAACATCAAAGAAGACAGCTCATTTGAAAATCAGACCCACAGCTTTAGGAGTGTTATCCCCTCCTCCAAAGTCATGATTTTTATTCACTCAATGGATTATTCCATCAAAATCAGCCCCACAAAGTACTAGAAATCTGAAGACCAGGGGACAAATGCTGGTGAATGCCCAGACCTGGAAGTGGAGTAAATCTTTAAAAGCTATTTCTCCCATCCTTGGCCCAAAGAACTATGCTAGGGGAAATGTGGGGTTGTAATAGGGTGGTCATGGCTGCTTTGGAAAAAGGCTACTAGAGACTCATCCCTAATTGCCACACCATAGTAGTTGGGCACACACAGCTTCACTTCCAAAGGTCTTTTTCCTTTAGTTGCTCATGCATTTGTATCTTTGCATCTTCCTGAGAGCAGGATTCTGCATGATGAAAGCAATGATTTTAACTTCACTCTTTCTCATTATTTCTAATTAACTTGTTTAAAGTTTGCATCTTTGTGAATGTGAAAGCTAATTGAAGATACAGTTTGAAAGGAAGAATAAGACATGTTTGGGGACCAAGGACCCATCAATGGTGGTGACTTTAGCAAAAGATGCCCACTGTTGTTACTACCATTAATCAGATTTATGAATTTTCTTTAGGGATCAATATAGGGAACATTGTAGGGAAAATATCTTCAAGGAAGATAGGACCATAAGTGACAGTGGAGGGTAAGGAAGCACAGAGGTCCTTCCCAAGGAACATAGCTCATCTCTGTGTTCTTTCCCCCCTAATCTAAGATCAATTCTTCCTATCCTGATAACTCTAGGATTTGATAAGGCCCATATCCCAGTGTTTATCTTAGCTTGCATCAGGGCATGTGTATGTACAGTGAAATGTGTATTCTTGTGAATTTCTAATAGCAGAAACTGAATTTACACAGAATTAGCATGTTCTTGGGTGATGTGGTTCATGTGACAGCACTACAGACATAACTCCAATGTGAGAAATGTCCTTTTTTTCATTTTTTATGAAAAAAATTTAAACACTAGTGCTCTAATGTGCACTCTCCTGTAAGGCACTTGTTTATATGTGTTTGTCAGTTGTGGGAGATAATGACCAGACAGGTTGATTCTCCTGTTCTCAGATTGAATTATCTTCTCTGGCAATGAAGAACTCTTTGACCTAGTCAGAAAGAATTAATAATCCTAGGTAGGAATGTATTTCCATACTCCCAGCCTACAGATATAAGTGGTTAAGATAAGAGTTGATGCAATTTAATCCCAGTAGTGTGAGTTCTCCTAACCTCAAGCCAGGTAGGAATTAGGATGTATCCCAAATGTTGATGCTTATCCAAGCGTGTGGGAGTGGAAGGGAATTTGTGTCCAGGAGAAGGGAGTAAGTAATATCTTTTCTTTTAAGAGTGCCCCAGTTTATTTCTACTGTGCTTTATTGTGAATATTGTAACATTTAAAAAATGTTTTTTGCCATAGCTCTGTGGGACTTGATATTAAAGGAGCCAGCGGTCTCTCTTGAGTAGTGTACTATATATAATGAGTTATTTGACCCACAGCTCTATGGGACTTCATTACTTGCTAATGACACAACCTTGAAAGTGACAATATAAAACCAATCTACTACAGGGATTTCTTCATGTTGCCACTCCTACTTAAGTACAAACTTGGGCAGGGAGCATGTTTTTCTATACAAAATCTAGCAGATTGTGGGTATTCATATTTTAATTGTTGGGTGACACATATGTTCTTGCTGACTAAGCTCAAATATGTCTTTTCCCATATCTGTTGCTGATGACTTTAATAAATATCAAAGTTCTCCTGTTGCTTCTATGAACCACTATGGGTATCAGCTTGGGAGTGGCCATAGATGAAAGCATCTCCGTTACCTAACTGTAGGTCACCCCCTTTTCCCTCCTTACTCTTCTTGCCTCACCCCAACCTGTTCCTGCTGCTGTTTTTGGCTTCTTAAAAGCGAAGGGCTTGCTGGGGGTGGTGGCTCACACCTGTAATCCCAGCACTTTGGGAGGTGAAGGCAAGAGGATTGCCTGATCTCGGGTTGAAGACCAACCTAAGCAACATGGCAAGACCTCGTCTCTACAACAAATTGTAAAATTAGCCAGGTGTGGTGGCACACACCTGTAGTTCCAGCTACTTGGAAGACTGAAGTGGAAGGATCGCCTGAGCCCAGCAGATCAAGGCTGTGGTGGCCATGAGCATGCCATTGCACTCCAGCCTGGGTGACAGAGTAAGACTCTGACTCAAAAAAAAAAAAAAAAAAAGTGAAGGTTTCAAGATAAGGCTCCCGAGTGCCCAGCCCATCTCTCCATACATGTCCAGTCCAGCTGCAAAGTTAAAAGGGTGGGGGCCACACCAGCTCGTCTTCTCTCTTTCTGCCAACTGCTGCCCATTTGCTGTGTTGAACTTTGTGTAGACTGTTCACTAATGCTTTTTGCATGCCTTTTGCTCCCAAGTTCCTTGGTGCTTCTGCACATGCTATGAACACTTGGTGCCTGTTTTCTATGGTTGTGGAGCGTGAATGAACAAGTAAATATGTAAAAGAGTTTTCTCTACGGTATTGGTCACAGTTATCCTAGTGTTTATCTATATCTGTATTATTCTAACAACATTCTATAATTAAAAGTATTTTTAAAAAGCAAAAAACTGAGAATTATTTTGGTAATCCAGTACTGATTTATATAACAGCTTTTTCATCAGACTCATTAGAATTGGGAGGTTGTCTTTACATTTATGCATTTTGTACAGATGTTCTTGTAAGAATTTGGGAATGCAGTGTCTTGAGCTCTCTGGACATTACCATATCTTGGGAAAATGCAAAAACCTGAACAGTTTCCTGTGAAGGTTATGCTGGTGACCAAGTCAATGTGGAAATATTTGCTATGAGTGATTCATTAGTTAGAAAAGAGGGGGGGGGGGGGAAATCCAGAAGGAAAAATAAAGAAGACCTTGTTGTTTTAAGGAGATTTTGGGGCGTATCAATTAAAAATACCAAAACAATTTCTACTACACTGGGACTGGGTTAACAGAACAGAGATACCTCTTAGAAACAGTCGGCCGGGCTCGGTGGCTCAGCCTGTAATCCCGCACCTTTGGGAGGCCGAGATGAGTGAATTGCCTGAGTCCGCGGGTTTGAGACCTGCCTGGGCAACTTGGCAAGACCTCATCTCTACAATAAATCAAAAAAGTTAGCCGGGCGTGGTAGCGTGCGCCTGTAGTTCCAGCTACTTGGAAGGCTGAGGCGGAAAGATCGCCGGCGCCCAGCCAGTCGAGGCTGCGGTGGCTGGGAGCGGCCACTGCACTCCAATCTGGGCGACAGAGTGAGACTCCAACTCAAAAAAAAAACCAAAAAAAAAACATTTCTCCTTACTACGTGTTCTGCATTTTCATTGCTAGGAAGAAAAGTTCAAGGAAAATGCTAATTCACCTGGAGAAATGTGGCTTAGGAGCCTGGCCTCTAAGGATATTTGATATGTTAATATGTTTCCATTGTTATTATTATTGAGCAAATTTACTTATGAGTGAACTGTACTCTAGGAAACTAGAGGTAAGTTAGGGCTGTTTCCAGGCCATTGAGTGCACTGAAATGATAATTTGCTAAGTAGTTTCCTAGTGTTTCCGAAGTTAGTTTTGCTTGCAAAGGAGTTCCCATGCCCTGGGAGAAACAAACACCTTGGAAGTAGTTGTTAGATACCCACCTCTGCGGTAGAGCATCAGACTTGGGCCCTGCTTATCTATAGGCGACCTCAAGATTTTTAAAAAAGACTGTTAAAATTGTTACTGAAGCTGGGTGCAGTGGATCATGCCTGTAATTTCCAACACTTTGGGAGATGGAGGTGAGAGGCTTACCTAAGCTCAGGGGTTCAAGACCAGCCTGGGCAACTTGGCGAGACCTCATCTCTACAATAAAAAAAATTAGCCGGGCGTGGTAGCGTGTGCCTGTAGTTCCAGCTACTTGGAAGATTGAGGTAGAAGGATCGCCTGAGCCCAGTAGGCTGAGACTGTGGTGGCTGTGAGCATGCCACTGCACTCCAGTCTGGGTGACAGAGTGAGAATCCAACTTAAAAAAAGATTGCCGGGCTCGGTGGCTCAGCGTGTAATCCTGCGCCTTTGGGAGGCTGAGGTGAGTGGATTGCCTGAGCCCACGGGTTCGAAACCCGCCTGGGCAACTTGGCGAGACCTCATCTCTACAATAAATCAAAAAATTAGCTGGGCGTGGTAGCGCGCGCCTGTAGTTCCAGCTACTTGGAAGGCTGAGGCGGAAGGATCGCCAGAGCCCAGCAGGTCGAGGCTGCGGTGGCCAGGAGTGCCCACTGCACTCCAGTCTGGGTGACAAAGTGAGACTCCAACTCAAAAAAAAAAAAAAAAAAGATTGTTAGTGAAAAACAGCTGGGCATGGTGGCTCACGCCTATAATCCCAACATTTAGGGAGGCCAAGGCAGGAGGATTACTTGAGCCCAGGAGTTCAGGACCAGCCTGGGAAACATAGCAATCTTATCTCTACAAAAAAAAAATCAAGAAATTAGCCAGGCGTGGTGGTATGCTCCTATAGTCCTGGCTACTCAGGACACTGAGGAGGAAAGATTGCTTGAACCCATGAGGTTCAAGTCTTCAGTAAGCTGTGATTGTGCCACTGCCCTCCAACCTGGGTGACAAAGTGGAACACGACTCAAAAACAAACAGCAAGAAAAAAGATCGTTAGTGAAAAATAACTGAGGGGTAAAATTAAGGGGAGAAAATGACCTAAAATGGTTCTGTGGGAAATTCCATTGCATGGTCTGGTTTTCCAAATGCTTCATTTTCAAAGTTTGAATCATTGTCAGCTTCTTCAAAGGTGGTTTGTTTGTTCCTCCTGGGAGAGATTAGGGCTCACGACACCAAAATCTCACTTTGAGTTTCACACCAGCCCCTGTAGTTGCTTTCTAGATAGCTCCACTTGGAAATTACCCAAGCACTTTGAAACCAAACCCTGAACTCAACTTACCACTTCCCACCTACTTCTCTGGTACATCCTTACTCAGTCATTGCCCAGCCATCCATTCTAGAAACTTACACTGAACTTCTGCTCCTTTCGCCACGCTCTCCAAATCAGCAGTGAATGTTCACTGTATAACCATTCATCCAGTCATGTCCATGCCACCTCCCAAATACTTACCAAGTTCATATGCCTCACTCTCTCCGTTGCCACCACTTACTACGTGACTTTGGGCAGTTATTTAGCTTTCTCTTCCTTGGATCCTCCATCCACAAATGGGAGTCATTATGTCTACCTCATAGAGTTGCAAAGATTAAATGAGATAATGGGGCTCAAAATATTAGCAGCAATTATTCAGACCATCACTGGGCCGTGTCTTGCTTACCGACATGATCTCTTAATGAGTCTCCTCTTTTCTATTTTGATCCCCTTCTGTCTATTCTCCCTTTCTGCTAGAACAATCTTTCTGAAAAGCAAATCCCTTCATGTCACTCTTCTGTGTAAAGCCCTGTCATGCTTCCCAATGCCAGCAGCAAACAGTGAAACTCTCTTTGGTGTGATTTCTAGGGTCAATCACGATCTGGCCCTCTGCCACTCTCCCCAGTTCTGTTCCCCACATTTTTACTACACTTGCAACCCTCCAAACTGCATCTCTCTCTCCACTGCTCTGGCCAACTCGTCTTCAGGTCTCAAACCTAACTTTTTGTAGGAAACCTTTCCTGATCCCACAAGTTTGGATCAAGTGTTCCTTTTCTGTCTTCCCTGGATTTATCCCAATTAAATCACTTTATCCCTGGTGGCTTTTTGTTTTGTTTTTGTTTTGTTTGTTTGTTTGAATCAGAGTTTCACTGTCACTCAGGCTGGAGTTCAGTGGCATGCCCACAGCCACCACAGCCTCAACCTGCTGGGCTCAGGCAATCCTTCCCCCTCAGTCTTCCAAGTAACTGGAACCAAAGATGCATGCCACCATGCCCTGGATAATTTTTTGATTTATTGTAGAGATGAAGTCTTTCCAGGTCTCCCAGACTGGTCTGGAGCCCCTGGACTTAGGCAACCCTCTCACCTCCGCTTCCCAAAGTGCTGGGATTACAGGCTTTTTTAATCATTGGCTGTTTACTTTTTTGTCTACTCCATTAAACTTTTATATATTTGAAGAAGTCACTATGTTTTGCTCACAATTGTATCTTCAACCCCTAGCAAATGTTTGACTAGAGAAAGCAGGCAGCAAGTATTTCTTGAATAAATCGGGCCAAGTATGGTGGTGGCTCATGCTTGTAATCCCAGCACCTTGGGAGGACTGCTTGAGGTCAGAAGTTAGAGACTAGCCTGGGTGGCATAGCGAAATCCCAGCTCTACAAAAAATTAGCCAGGCATGGTGGTATGCGCCTGTAGTCCTAGCCACTCAAGAGGCTGAGTAAGAGGGTCACTTAAACCCAGGAGGCTGAGGCTGTAGTGAGCTGTGATGGCATCACTGTACTCCAACATAGGTGACAGAGTAAGACCCATCTCAAAAAATAAAAAGAAGAAGAAGAAGAAGAAGAAGAAGCAGCAGCATATGTATGAACTTCATTCCCTTCAGCAGGGCTGGTGACTTTTTTCCCGATCTGCCACCACACCAAGCTACTCATTAAAAGCAAAAACAAAAACAAAAAATTGTAGAGATTCTGTCACTGGCACATCTTGTGAGAAGGGAGTGTAGAAAGGGAAGAAGCCTCCAGAAGTAATGTGAACCATCTAAGAGCTCCTCCCCCAGGTAAAGTTGGGGCAAAGGCAGACCCGCCCCCAGCCGCGCCTGTACTTAATGAGAAATCATTGTTGTCTTTTAGAGGGTTA